AAATATTTATTATCTCTATCAGTTTTATCACACGGTAACTATTTATGTAGAAATCTTTCTTTGGGGAAATAAATCATAGATTAAAATAATAAATCTATTGATGCATCACTTAGATCGCGTTCCAGAATCTGTGAACGATTTTTATACTACGAATTCATTAGGTCTTTTGAAATACTCAAAAATGCATTATTCTTTTCATTTCTAAAAAGGTTGGAACATCGTGAGAATAGAATTCTGAACTTGTTACGTGTTGAATTTTCAAAATGATCTCTCGTTAATCAGCGCCACTTTCCACTCTAATTAGGGATACAAATTGATTGAGGAAATTGCTTGGCCGACAGCGAAATTACTGGACAAGTTAGAAGATTCGTCCGTTTATCGAAAGCCCTCATTGGCGACTCTGTTTAGTAACAATTGGAGTCTAATGGTATATAAATATTTTCAACTATCGTGCATCTGTTTATCGTAAATCGCCGATGAAAGTGTTTCTCCAGACGACCAAACAATTTGTCGAGCCTCGCATTTTTTCTGTGTACCGAATAGTAGATTTGTCAGCAATTTCCTGGGTGAACTAAAGGGTAATTAAATTTGGTATAAGAACAGATTAAGACAGATTACGAAATGAAGAGAAGTTGGAATTACATCAGTAATATTCGCTGTCGGCCCCAACGTTTACCGAATCAATCTCAATTAATATGACTAATTAGATACAACTACTTAGGCTTAGATAAATCTATGTAAGGCATGGAGTATATCATCTCGTTATCTGGTATCTAGATTATTCGTATATTATTATAAATTTTCTGTTGTTTCTCTCTCACGCACGCACACACGTCCCCCTTCTCGCGGTCACGGTTTTCTCTCTGCTCGACGAAGAACTCATTCTCCCCCTTGGGTCGCATGGTAATCTTCGCAACATTCTCTCACTCCTTTTGTTCAATTTAAAATTCGTTAACAAATCTCTAAACTATTCTCGATTTACCTTTTTTTTTTATGTATTTTCTCGTTTGTTAGTTTTTACTTTCAGTTACGTTCGATCGAGTTTCAATTTACATTTCATTTATTTTCAACTAATTAAAACCGTCCTCCGCGGTGATCTGCAGTTCGAACCCACCGCGTATTGATTTTTCTTTTTAATTGTCCAGCGAGTTGTTAGTTTCTCACGCCTCCACGCGATTCACGGTAGAACAGGCATTACCACCTATCCTAATTCACCGTGAGGTCGATTAACCACGATGATTACCCATGAAAAATCACAAGAAAAAACGTGTGGACAAGTATACGTGTACTGAATTACATCCACCTCTGCGACTTCTATATTAATCGTTCGCTTAGGATTAAGAGTTCCGTGAATCCTCTGCTTCCCTAAGTAAATTAGCTCGTTGATCAATGAATAATTTGTCGGTTTATCTAATACTCGGTAATTAACAATAATTAAAGCTGGTCGAGATGCGCAATCCATTAATTATTCGTTAATTATATCCGTTATTAAACGTAACCATCCATCACAAAGGTTTCTGTGTCTTTCGTTAATTCTAATTCATTAATCTTATTATTACTATTATTATTACTTTATTAATCAACTGTCGAGTGTAAATATTTGAAGAAACGGATCATGTAATTCTGTATGGATTGAACAATTCTCTTACTATTTCAACAGGTAATGTTACCACTGCACCTTCTTCACATTAAGTTGTTAAATACCACGCGTTCCTACTTCGTGTTGAACGTTCTTTCTTTCAACGCTTTCGCCCGGAGCATACCGTGCCTCGATTATCTTTAGAAGCGAAGTAAACTAACCAGATGTTAAATCAATTCGTGCTTCCAACATCCTAAATAAATCGTTCAACACCTCTCAAAGAGTTACTACCATTATCGCTCGCGAATCGGAAAATCACATTTTTCTCATTGATAAAATCCCTCCCCTGTTCCTATTTTATCTTCCGTTAATCTCGCGTCCTCTTCAGTAGTTAATGATTGCTTTTCACTATCTCCACCAGAAACGATATTTGTTAAACACGTCAATATTTCTTTTTAAAAATCTGTTTACTCTGCAATTAAACGCGCTCTTCAAATTCCACGATACTTCTCGTTAAACTTTATTTGCAATTTAATTCATTTTCTTTTTTCGGAAATTGTTTTAACCGGGTAAGTTTAAATCCCGATTATCGCTGATGAAAGTTAAATATTTTAAGTCCGTTCTGAATTTCAAAGTTAACGTTGAAGATCCGATTCAGATTAGAAAAGTTCTTGCGCGGCGTAAAGTAGTTTAGCTGATTACGCGCAAGCTTTTTAAGCGATTCCAATGGTAACATGGGAATTGACGCGTCGGTTTCGGGTTTAATTGCCAACACTGCCCAAGCATTCTAAATCTGTCTCGTCGATCATCTCGTATCATTTGATATCCTAAACTAATTAACGAATTAATCCTATAATGGTTTTAGTTGTCGAAATAATTCGGACATCGTTCAATCAATCTCCAAAGTAATTCGACCAGCCATTGATCCCATGAAATTTTGTATACTCCCAAAACAGCGATCCTTTCAATAATCCAAATCAGCGATTCTCAATCTGACGTTTGATAATAAAAATAAATGCTGAAATGAATAGCTTTCATGATTTTCAATATCGAAGCAATCTACTAAATATCAATTTGTTATCTAAAATTCGCTGACAACTTCATACGTTCTAATCGAACCTGCTGATGAAATTGGAAAACATGCACAGTTTTCGTTAGCATGGCAGCCAATAGATTAATCGGTAACAACGTGAAAAAATGGTAGGTAAAAAAATCGCTGATTCAGGCTAAAGAGAACGAGACGTGGATTAGAGCCAGACAGTTGCTAAGGGCAAAAATAAATTGGGAAGATATCGAAAAGCTGACGGTCCAAACGAGGACGAGAAGCTGGACGATTATCCGCAAGTCGCAATTCAGAGTCGCAAGAAGCCCTTTAGAGAGTCGAGTGAACGCTGCGAAGTTCTTCGAACGTTGCTGCACGTTCAACGCGCCCTTATCACCCCTCACTTATCTTCAGGATTCGCTCTCGGTGATCTTTCTGTTTCTTGTCTTTCACTGCGAACAGATATTATCAACCCTCCAAATTTGTTCCCTTCCGTTATCAGAAACCCACTTTCCCACCCTGAAAGCTTTTTATTTCTTTAGTTCGGAAAATTTCTACAATTTTAGATTTACTAGAATTTGAAACGTTTGATTCATTTTTTAAATGCGAACACGTAGCTTCCCATTGCATGCTCAATTAACATACCAATTAATCAAAGAGAATTAAATGTCTCTCGCTGAGAAGTACGGCAAACGATGTAATTGAATAGACCTGTTCATGAAATGGGACCCTTCATATTTCTAACAAAATATTTCGACGGAGGAAGGGAATGGTTTTATTTAACGAAGAACAATAGATCTTGCTAAAAGACGTAATAGAGGGTTCACTTTACAACTGAGAGAAACGGAAGCGGAGAGGAATAAATCGTAAATTGAATCGGACTCACCAAATGTATCTAATAGATTTCATCTTGAGTGCCGTTGAGTTCTCCTTGCACTTGTAAGCCAACACCTGCTTCACGCTGCTCACGTCGACCGTAGGAAACCTCGACGTCACGTAGGCTTTAAAATTCCAAATGAAAAATGTACTTTCACCAAACGTAAAAAAAAAACTCGATATCACCGCTGCCGATGCTTGTTTCAATCCATTTTTATTCGTATTGCGAATGCATGGAATCATAAATCAGGGAATGTTTAATGGGAAGCTTTTCAACAATTTTACGATCACTTTTACACTTTTTGTTGAAAACAATATGAGGTACGTCGAAACCGTCATGAAACGAAACGAATGAAAAATTCGCAACCGTTCCAATGATTAAAATATGAAACTAAGAGTATAAAACGTTTCGAACGTAAACGAAATATTGCGCCAGTACAAATACAGATGTGAACAAGTTCATTACCCCTGAGTGCAGTTTTAAATTTCATAAAGACTATCCGTGTTATGTGAAGCTGAGAGCTTTTTAAAATATCATTTGTATTCTTCCCTATAAATTTCTTTCTCTTTGATTTCTCTGTTTAACACAGCTATAAATGAATTTCCATTCCGCATAAAATTGCTAGTATTTGATTATACGTATCGTATATTGTTTCAAAGATCCTTAGGATGGAACGGGAAAATCAGCTTACGACGTTACCAAGTTCCACTACAGTTTCCTTTGAGACAACTACAGACACTCGAATCGATGTTCCAATGCAATTAGCAAATCTCAAAATAGAAGAGGAGTAAATATGGAAATTGGGAGAAAATTAGGTTTAGCCAATCATTTGATCAATTCCGTTGGGAACACGTAAGCCCGACGAGCGTGCTTTTCTGTGTTTCTTTGATCGTCGACTGTCGATCACATCAAATCGGCTCTTCCAAATCTTTTCATTTTCGAGCTCGTCTTCTCTTGATGGATTGTTCGTTGGTTTGGTATGAAATATTTTTCGTGGAATAAGGAATGTACGTAAGAAAGAACCTCTCTGACGTCGTGAAAACAGACGTTTTGTCATGTTCTAATGAATCTGGCACAAACAAGAAATATTCATCAACGACTTCCCTTTAGCTCTCTTATCCGACGGGAATTCCTCTACTTCGAGGAATCTTTTCAATCGTGGGAGTAGATGGAAGTCAGAGGCAACTCAATCTGGCGAATAAAAGTAGACACGGACAATAAGTCGTACCTTAATTCCTTGAATTCCCTTATAAAATCGAATTTGCATTTGAGTTCTGATCGGTTATTTCTTACAGACAATTCCGTCACGTGCAGGGTGTAAAAATTTATTAAAACCAGATGAAATTTGGATTTCAGATTCTTCTAATCAAATTTTCTTTTTATGATGGAAACATATGTAGGATCGATCAACCGACTCGCAAAGAGAAAAGTGAATCTTAATACCAGAATGCTTTGAATAAGTATCCAATAAGCTCTTTTTTGTTTATTTCGATATTTTCACAGCAGGAGGAGGTCAGGGAATAAGTAGATCTCCAAAGTGGGCGATTTTAAATACTGAAATTCACAAGCGTCCTATTTTCGAATCGAGTGAACGTTTGGACACCGGTGAAAGTATAGTCAGAACTTTATTTTTGGATATCCTGTGTTTACTCCGTGCTTCTGTGTACGCGTACCTTGCGTTTCTTCCCTATGTTCCAATTGTTCCCCGAAATTCCAACAGGATTAATATGACAAGATGATTTACTGTCGGATTCCCTTTTTTATTTTAACTCGCGTTAAACGTGTGTGTATAAATGTTGGTCTGACTCAGTGTTCTGTTATGCATAAAACGATATTTACAATCGTGGGATGCAAAAATTTCCATTATTAAAATAAGCACTGAATTTATGATTGTAGTTTACCATAACATATCATTTATCTTAGGGATACACCCTCGAAAGCTTTACCTAGAATCTCAATGATACATACATAATAAAATGTAGTACGTGAGCTATCTGCGAATATCTCCCTCTGCAGTTTACGGTATACATAAAAAATTATCCGATAATTGAGGTGACTGTTTTGACATTGTTAAAAGATTTTTACTTTGTCCTACTCCTACTCGTAGAAAATATCCTATTTCAATTATCGCCGATGTGAAAATAATAATGACACGAGCGAAGTTCCCTTGTTAAGGGAAAATAGATCAGACAGTGGGTCAACGGTGACTTACGAGAGTTAAATTAAGAAGTACTGACGATAATAAATACTTACATATGATAGCCTGTACTTTAGTCTTATCTAGCGCAGGTTTCACGGGTCTCTCGGTGGCAGTTCCAGCCCGGCTCCATCGTTGTCCCGTGACCGAACAAGTAGCAAGCTCGGTGGGGCTGAACAAAATCGCAGCCAGACCGCGCGTCAATTTTCTGTAATCACTCCATTTCACAGCCCTTAGTTGTTCCTCGCAAACTGCTATTCCCTCGCCCAGATGTACCTACCGACGACGACACAGGCTTATCAAAATTATTTTAAGAGACATCATCCTCCTAATAAAAAGAAAAATGAAAAGTATAGAATAGGAGAATGGAGTGTATGTCGTCGAGGTTTATTTCCATCGCGATATTCATAGCGTTCTAATTTAATCACGATTGTTACTTATTCAAATGTTTATCAACGTTGGTTGCGTTTGTGACGGAACTTTTAATTAACTCAAATTTATTAAGCTATGATGTGAACATGAATCGAGCCACCCAAACAGGAAACTAACCAACTCCAGTACATACCTGGAAATTTCTCAATTACAGTATTACGAACGTGGAACTTGTGTAAAACGCAATGATTAACTTCCGCGGAGTTGATTAGTTTAATCTGTGTGTCTCGAATAGAAAGACGTGAATTTAAACTCGTCATGGACATGTAATTTAATGTACATAAATTGTAATGCTCAAGGATGAGATATAATTTAAAACGTGACTTCTATCTTCGAGGGGAGATAAAGAGAATAATTTATAGGAGAATATGTATCATGGAATTACTATAATATTGTAAACGAGTAGAAACGGGTTTCGTAATGGGTATAACTATAACGAGAAAGTAATGTTAGAAGTAATAAACGTTTTGAGCGTACTGTTATCTAATAGGATCAGCCGAATAAAATTAGATGAGACGATAAGAGGACCGTGAGAATAAAATATGGGAATGTGGAACGCTCTCGTAAATCAATAACGACAATTAGAAAATAAAAGAGAAATTCGCGGATTTGAAGTATATATGAATGGTATAAAAATATGTATGAGGCAAACAGGGTGTAATAATTGCAGACGCAATTGAGGAAATGAAAGGACTTGTTTGATAAGGAAATATAGATAGCAGTGTTAATTTTAATAATTTAAATGATAATTATTAAATTATTATACAGTAAAACATTTATGGTATCATTAAATAAATGATTTCAATTTTCTCATAAATGCATAAAATGTATAATAGTAAATATTTAGAGAATGAGCAAAATATTAATTTGCGGTATTTACTTTTGAATATGATTGTTCTTTATTAATTGAAACCGATATGACGTATACCACCGCACGTTGAGTATAGTGTATGATTAAGGATGTATAGGCTATATACTTAAACAATACTAGCATGTTGAATTTGTTATTATAGATTCCTATTACTATTAAAAAGCTACCTGCAAAATTTTAAATCAA